ACCATGCTTCCAATGACATATTCCTATTTGTGGTTTTTTCCGCATAGTGAGAAATATTACCATTTTCTTTGTCTTCTGATTTTCTCGAACCAACTATTTCTTCCTTTTTTCTGGGGTTTTTAACCTCTCTTATATTTGGTCGAAATCTTCCCCACTTCTAACGATATAACACACAACCTTCTCTTCCATCCACTGTCTTTTCTTAATTTCAGACATCGATGTGAAAATAATGCTGTTTATGTCTTTGTAATGACAGAACTTCCTTTGTCTTTTCTTTAGACTCAGTTTAATCCTCAGTGACTCATATTTAAGCAATGAACTGTGCAGCTGTGATGTTGCTATGCCCTTGGCAACAACTCGAGGGGCAAACAAGTGGTCTCTCACAATGAATGTTCAGTTGTGACAATGGAATTGCATCATCAGGGTCTTGGACTTTGTCAATTTGATGGGACCTTTAAGATCCGTGTCCTTCTTTGACAGACCTCACTCCAATAATTGTCTCCACCTTCCCTTGCCTATGGCTTTAATATATTCCTCTCTGCCATGGTCACCAACTGGCCCGGGTTGCAGGCGACCGTCCTGGTTTTAGCATTCAGAGCCCCACTTCATGAAGTACTCCTCAGTTCCACACACACCAGGACGGTCGATGACCCTACTGGTAGCTTCCGTCTTTTACCCTGTGTTCAAACCATTCCCGTTCTAAAAGGAACGGACCGTCCTCTTGCATTGTAATCTGACCTGTCCTCTTCCTATCTTCCTTTCCTCTTTCTCAGAAAAAAATGTATACTGCACAGTTCTCATCTAATTTTTCTCACCTCTCATTACACCTTCTTCTCCCACTCACTCCTCAACTAAGCCGACTTCTGAGGTTACTGCCCCCCACTGAAATTGCTCTCACCGAGTCCTACGAACACGTCTCAGGGCTGCTCTGGCTTTACATCTGAGGGCCGTGATTGGACGCTCTCCATCACTTTCTTCCTCTCTCTTCAATAGTTCTACACTTCTCATTCCCCCCCCCCCCCCCTTTCCACCTATTCGTCCCACTCCTTCTTGGCCTCTCGTGGGATCTGTTTCCCCTGTCTGCCCGTACATTTTGTATATTCTCTAGAATATACTCTACTGCCTGAGCAATCTCGTGTACTATGTCATTTTAATCCTCATCTCTATGCATAATCATAGGCACTCAATGGATGTTAACTGAGAAAATGACTCCTAAATCTCCTTTTCTTCTCCCTGAACCTCAGACTTGGAGATTTCTGTCCTTCTGGAAGGAATGGTACCTCTCCAAGCTGAGCGTATCACGAGACAGATTCCCCCCTCATACTCGTGTTGAGTTTTTAATATTCGTCTTTATTAATTTTATCCCGAATGTGCATATGAAGTATCCTGGATCAGAGACTGATTTCTTTGAATTACCTAACAGGGAATATCATCACTGTCTCACCCCTTCTCACGGCCTTTACCCCAAGTCTTACTCCTGGTAAAGTAAGAGCCAGTGGTGAGAGCCAATGGAAACTTTTCCCACATGACTGGCTACATATTCCCTAGGCCAGAGACAAGGAGAAAGGATTTTTCTATTATAAAGGGGAAGGAAGCCTCCCGATAGGGTCTCCTTGGAAACATAAAGGGCCTGAGTCCTAACTCTAACCTTTCTAAAAGCCAGATAGCCCTATGTAGCTTGGATTTTACAAACTGGAAATGTCACCGAGGTCTGGGCTTTTTTCCCAACCTGTAAAGACCTAAAGAGAGAGCCACCCCAGTCTTGCTGACAACTTGGAACTTAACCTGGGAACTTCCTCTGGGCTCTAACAGTTTGATCCTCTTGGATGAGAGAAATTGACTAGACGAATGACTGCAGATCAGTTCCCATGGGAAGGTTCTCGGAGCCAGAGCTCTTTATAGGTGTGCTGAGAAATGCAGGAGGCTTTATTTCCTCGAATGCGGTCTAATTGCACCCAGAATTCACTCATCTACCCAACCTAGAAGCTAGAAGTCTTCCTTGCTTCTTCCTCTCTCTTATCACTGGCATCTATTCAGTCACCAAATTCCCACACCTCTACACTCTAACATTTTCCTACTCTATCCTTTTTTTTTTTTTAGCGGGGGGTGGGGGGTGGGTTCCACTGCCCTGGATCAGATCCTCATAATCTTTCAGTAAATTCTTCCAGTTGCCTCCTAACTGGTCTAATTCCATTTCTGCCCTTCTCAAAGACACACTCTGTATTTATGTCAGGGACATCTATTTGAAACACACACATGCCCACACCACTCTCCTGCTTAAATACTCTCAAAGCCCCCTGATCTCCTGGGGGCACCTGGGTAGCTCGGTCAGTTAAGTATCTGACTCTTTATTTCGGCTCACATCATGAGATTGAGCCCTATGTCGGGGTCCATGCTGGGCATGGAGCCTGCTTGAGATTCTCTCTTTCCTTCTTCCTCTGACCCTCCCCTGCTCACTCTCTCACTCTCTCAAAAAAAAAAAAAGAAAAAGAAAAAAGAAAGAAAGAAAGAAAGAAAGAGAAAAGAAAGAGAACTGGCCTACTTGAGAAAACTTGGGATGTGGATAATATATGCCATACTGTATTATGTCTAATGTCTTCACACATGTATTTTCGTTGGTTTTCTTCTCCCTCCTCTAATCTGCACTTCGCTGGCTAATGCACATTCATGCTTTAGAATTCTTCATGAATACTATCTTCTCTAGGGAGCCTTTCCCAATTTCCTTTCCCATATGATGCAAACCTCTAGCACTTTCCACACCATTTTGAAATTATTTCTGTGTTTGACTCTTCTTCTGTATACCAGTTTCTAAATGGGAGGGGTTGTTTTGCATTCAACTTTGCGTTTCTAGTTTCTTATACAGCTGCTGACACACAGTAGTTCAACAAAGGGAGCCATTATTATTTTATAATTAGTAATGTCAAAGTTAATTGCCTCCTATCAAGTCCAAATGGAGAGACTAGAAAAAATGATAATTTTTTTGAAGTTGGGAAAATTAAATGTATGAGAAAATATAAGAATACAAGAACTGTATACACATACACACGCGTGCACATGCACACACACACACACACACACACACACACAGATTTCAAATGAGATATTAGAGGGAGAATCAGCCTTACACGTAAGCAGAATAAATAACCCACCTACTCCGTATTATAATACCTACTCTGTATTATTTCAAGAGGACAAAAATATCTCACTGTACCGAAACTACATCCCCATCCAAAGACTGAATCCTAATATTTCACTTCTAGAACTTTATTATTTCAATTCAAACACCTTGCCTCGGGGCGCCTGGGTGGCTTGGTCAGTTAAGTGTCTGACTCTTGATTTTGGCTCCGGTCATGATGTCACAGTCATGGGATCGAGTCCCACATCGGGCTCTGCACTAAGCATGGAGCCTTCTTAAGATTCTCTCTCCCTCTCTGTCTCTGCCCCTCTCCCCCAGTAGCAATCTCTCTCTTAAAATGAATAAACATTAAAAAAAAAAACAGGCACCTTGCCTCTTTCCACTTAACTGTTAAGTAACTATGGAAGACAAATCATTTTGCCAAGTGTCAAACTCAGGATTTTTTTTTAAATTTTTTTTAACATTTATTTATTTTTAAGAGACAGAGAGCAGACAGGGGAGAGGCAGAGAGAGAGGGAGACACAGAATCCCAAGCAGGATCCAGGCTCTGAGCCATCAGCACGGAGCCCGACGCGGGGCTCAAACCCACAAACCGCGAGATCATGACCTGAGCCAAAGTCGGACGCTCAACCGACTGAGCCACCCAGGCGCCCCATGGATTTTTTTTGAATGATGAGGATTTTATCTATACATGTATCATATAATACAGTTCTGGAGCATTCCTACGACACAATACATCTGGAGTTCAAACGAGATGCAGCTAATTTTTCTCTCAGTAACAGAACAGGGCTAAATTTAATAGGTAACATTGCTAAAACTAGGGCAGAATTGAAAAGGGATTTGAATAAATAAGCTCTATGTCGGGGCAATTATTACTGTTTACACTGATCTATTAACATTTATGTGGTACTTAATACTTTCATTAACATCTTCACTTCTAAGATAGTAGAACCTGGTCCGTAACTATTTTCGATGGTTTCCAAGTATCTGTCAATTTATTCTAGCCTCATACGCTGTCTCACCACCGTTGGCACTCAATTGCGTATGAAGTTTATTGTTTTTGCTCTGTTTCTGGTGTGTTAGTGTTCTCCCTCTTTTCATCCGGAAGCTTCCTGAAGACAGAAACTCTGCATTTTGCTTTCCTTTTAATCCTCTGTATCAAAGAAGCTTACAGATTAGGGTTTAAAATTGATAACTAGCATAGATGACCCCAAGAGACCTATTCTAGGCCTATTCTTTCATAGAAACTTATTCCCTCAATTCCTAAGTCCAGTATACCTCAAAGCATTTCTACCATTCTCAAAGAAGTCACATTAGATAATGGGTATTTTTCAAAAGGACTGAGTTTTTACTGTGAATACTTCACTTTATAAGTTGTCAGACATTTTGACAGAATTAACTGACGGTTATGGATTGAATTGGTTGTGTGTTTCAGTACAACCTAGGTTCTTCCAAACAGCCCTCCAGGCCCCCTACTGTGCTCTAGAATAACCATTCTTTCGGGTATACAGAAGTCTTCGTTATCCCCGTGAGCATCTTGTAATATGTAGCTTTCAACTTTGCCTTCAGATTTCAAGTTTGGCGCTCAGGTTGTACAAGTAAATCACTCTTATCTTGATGAAAAAGCATCAGTGTATCTTGAAAGTTCCCCCATGCTCTCCAGAATAGTTTTATACACACAGTGGTTTCCTGATTAACAGAAAGATCCATACGGGCTCATTTATCATTTTGTGACAATCGGTTTATAAATAAAGGAGATAGAAATTGACCTGGGAATTTCATAACCAAGTTCTGAACAACCAGGATTAATTTTGAGAAGAATGCCACAAGCCAAATAAGCATTTCTTTTCATCTCATTTCACAGGCCTTCAAGAGGGAGTTGAAAACGAAAGAACCTGTAATCATGAGTACTCTTGAGACTGTACGAATATTTCTGACAGAGCAGCCTTTAGAAGGACTAGAGAAACTCTACCAGGAGCCCAGAGGTAATTGAATGTGGAACTGTAATAACATATTGATAGAAGGATCAGTGGTGACAGAGCGACCCATCCATTCTTGCTGCCAGGGTCTGGATGGTGCTCATATTTTCTAAGTTAAATAGAATCAATTCAAATTAAACATAGATGTTGGGAAACAAAAAGGAACCCTAAACCACCATGCATAAATCTGGTTGCGCCTTCATAAATAAACATTAAGAGAGACTCATTAGTGATCAGTTATTGAAACACTTAGAAAATAAGAAACAAAAGAGATTCGCTGTGAGAAGGGATCCTATCGTTATAGAGACTACAACCTAATTTTCCTTTTAAGAGCCTGGCTGAAGTAAATTCGAGCTTGTGGTGCACATCCTAACATGTTTCTGTTCAATGGCTTAAATGGATCTTGGATGATCTGAATGATAGAAGGTAGAACAGATATATTCAGGAGGACAGACCTGAGATGTGCGGACACTGTCAGAATTTATGCCAAGGTGCGAAAGAACCATTAATCAATGGGTTGCCCTCTTGTTGCACTGTACTTTCTTTCTTCCGGTATGACCTTTTCAACAATGTTTTTTTAAAAACAAAAACAAAAACAAAAACAAATAGGACTGTGACCTAAAACCTTGTCTTGTTACCAATTTAGAGCTGCCTCCTGAGGAGAGAGCCCAGAATGTCACACGGCTCCTGCGAAAGCAGGCTGAGGAGGTCAACACCGAGTGGGAAAAACTGAACCTGCACTCTGCAGACTGGCAGAGAAAAATAGATGAGGCCCTCGAAAGACTCCAGGAGCTTCAGGAAGCAACCGATGAGCTTGACCTCAAGCTGCGTCAGGCTGAGGTGATCAAGGGCTCCTGGCAGCCTGTGGGTGACCTCCTCATTGACTCTCTCCAAGATCACCTTGAAAAAGTCAAGGTACCTTCTATTCCTTTGCTTCGGGGTCCTTTGAGAGACTTGAAAGGTTCCAATCTGAACTTGGGTGTGGTACTTTCTTCTCCCAGAGTTGTTTTTTTTTTTTTTTTTTTTTTTTTTTTTTTTTTTAAATTTTTTTTTTTCAACGCTTATTTATTTTTGGGACAGAGAGAGACAGAGCATGAACGGGGGAGGGGCAGAGAGAGAGGGAGACACAGAATTGGAAACGGGCTCCAGGCTCTGAGCCATCAGCCCAGAGCCCGACGCGGGGCTCGAACTCACGGACCGCGAGATCGTGACCTGGCTGAAGTCGGACGCTTAACCGACTGCGCCACCCAGGCGCCCCTCTTCTCCCAGAGTTTAAGAGAAACATTTTTTAATGTTTATTTTTGAGAGAGACACACACAGAATCCGGAGCAGGCTCCAGGCGCCGAGCTGTCAGCACAGAGCCTGGCGCGGGGCTTGAACTCACGAACTGTGAGATCATGACCTGAGCCGACGTCGGACGTTCAACCGACTGAGCCACCCGGGCACCCTCTTCTCCCTAAGTTTAAAATGGGGCCCTCGTGCATTAGAAATCCGTTGATCTTTCACAAATTCAAAATCATCTTGCATGTGGTATTTTCTCTAGGAGGAATTGGTGATCTAATCATCTCTGTCTTTAATAATGTGGAATGAAATACTTAAAAGTTACAGGGTGAAACAATCCCCTTTATTTTGCTATTAGGGAATGAATGTAAGCGCTTGTACGAAAATGACCTGAGTTGCGTGCGTGTGCGTGCACGCGTGTGTGTTCTTTGTGATACTTAGTATCAGAGTAGGGACAAATAGAACACTTCATCAAGAGCCAGGAGTCTAGGCTTTGGCCTTTTTGCTAACAAAATTACATGACTTGGGTGAGTTACGGTACTCTGCATTGAGGCTGTTACTGCTGTCCTTCCCTTAGATGGCAATGTATATAATACGTTATACATTAGTCCACCGCGGATATTGGGCAATATCATTATATATTTGGAATACTGCCCATGAGGCCGAAGTTAAATTCTCTTGTGGTACCAAGATGATAAATATATTTATTGAAAAGAAGATACATATTTAGGAATATCGTTATGAAAACCAACTTGAAAACATAACCAACTTGAAACATTTCGTTTACTCACCCAGTGTCAAACCCAACAAAAGTCCTCCCAGGTTCGAATTCAAAAGAAGTGAAATTCTCACCCGCACTTGGCATGCTCACCAGCGGACTCATCTCGGCAGGTGTCGTCTCCTTTGGCTTTCATGACATTGTTTCATACATTCTTCTTCTTCCTTTATTTCCCTCAGTTCTGAAACCCTGCCCACTCTTCAGATGTTCGTGTGCCCAAGTTTCTAACCTTAGCTCAGTTCCCTTTGTATTGTATAAATACTCCCGATTCGAAGTGGCATGACAGCGACAAACGTAGATTTCTGGTCTGGGTCTCTTTTCTGATCTCCTCACCCACATGTCGTTAGAATCAAAACGCAACCGTTCTGAAATCAAGTTCGTTCAGTCTCGTGTTTGACCATTCCCCTGCTGCTGTCCCCTCTTACCTGCCTTTTCCTCGGTGTTTCCTATTTCACTGAATGGCTCTTAATCCAACAAGTTGCTCAGGCTTGAAACTTGAGTTTCTTCCTTAAGTCCTTCTCTGTTTTGACTGATTGCGCATGACGGCTCATTCTACCTCAGAATGTCTCTTTTCTGTTTTCTCTCCTCTTTTCAACCAGTGTCCTGTTCTGGCCCCTAGTGTGTGTCACTCAGATGATTGTATTGTACATCTATGGATCCCATTCGCTGTACCTGACGTATCATGAACACCGCGTTTCCCTTTTTTTAAGTTCGTATTTAACTTCCACTTAGTTAACACGCAGCGTAACGATAGTTTCTGGCGTACAGAACAGTCATTCGGCACTCGTGTGTCACACCCGGGGCTTCTCACGACGAGTGATAAAGAATTTTAAATATTTGGTGAACGAGTGAATGAATGAACGATTTCTTTACTGATATTTCTACCTTATCCACCCTCTTGTGATTCCAGTCCCAACTCCTGCCTGCCTGACAATGAAGCCCAGTGAATGAAGAGGGCAGGCGGCCCTTGTCTTCCTAGCCCTGGTTTAGATTCCCAACTGTGACTTCCATCATCCAGGCCATTCCGCACACTCTGACCATACCACCCCTTTACCCAAATATGCCACCTTTCTTCACCACTCTCTGCCTTTGCAGGTGTTCTTCTCTTGGCCTCGGTTACCTCCACCTTATGTGCCTGGTGATCTTCTATTGAGCCCTCAGTGCCCAGCTCAAATGGCATCTGTCTTTGTAGTTTGTCCGGAGTGTCTCCCACCCCCAGCTCCTACCGAGCGGAAGAAATGGCCCTCAGTTCACTGCCTTCTTAGATCACCACACGTGCTTCAGTTGTCACACTCAAATCTCCCACAGGCAGTGAGCTTCCTAAGAGCAAGGGTCAGCAACATATAAAGGAATTTACTTCTGCTTCTTTATTTCTTCGCCCCACTCTTGGTTATGAGCCATTCTGCAATATGTAGTTATTGTAGGTCTTTGCCCTGATGAAGCCGACAGTCTAATGTTGAACGGAATAGCTCTTCACGAAAACGGTGGGTGCAGATTTAAGAGAAGATTAAAAAAGAGGGCTCTATAACTTGGAAACTCTCTTCCACCCTAACATTCTTTGACTCCATGTCTGATAATTAAAGCAATGGTTAACATGGACGGCTACTTGAAAATTAAAATAATGTTTTGCAACGTATTACCTTGTATTTGTTCAGCCTGAAAACTAGTACTTTTATTGAAACGTCCAGGCACGACGTTTAAAAAGAAATCAGCCCCAAAATGACAAAGACGTTTAGGAGAATGTCCCAAAGGAACCACATTCGTTTATTAATTAAGTGGCCGAGTCTATAAGGGATTCACTTATAGCCATATGTGCCACACAGGAGCCTTTGTAGGATACGGAGTATGGGATGGAGAATGCACTCAGCAGGATTCCATAGTGAAAAATCACTACAAGTAAAACAGCTCAAAATCAGCCGATCCTCCCTGAAGCCTGTTTGCATTTTTCCTTTCGCTTCCCTTCTCCTACCTGTTCTCCATCCTCGGCCCAGGTTCATTTCCCACACCCTAACCGGGAAGACTCTCATTGTGATCCCGATAACAGCAAAACACCCATGCGCTAAATATCCCTTTCTGAAAGAGCGTAAATATGCCAACGCTTCAAAGAAATCGGTTTGCTCTGTGGCTTCTCAACAACACTGGGTTTGAAACTCTGAAGCTTTGGTGGTGGTAGTTTATAAGGAGTGAATTTTATTAACTAAAACTTACTTTGAACAGAAGTAGAAGAGTCCTTAAAACCACTGTTCCCATTTTTCTACTCAGCAATTTAAGCCCTCGGAGACTCCACGCTGTAGGGGACTCCAAAGTGATAGCCAGGCATGTAGCCAGAGAACATTTTCTTTACCCACTTCAGCTCGTTTTCATCACCCCTAGTGACTCTATTGTAATACCCACCTCCATTCTGATCTTATTTGTTAAAGAAGTTGTTACACAAGTAACTCTGCCATGTGTATTCCTGTGGGATTTAGCATTAGATCATTTCATTGGCCAATGTGGCTTTGGGATTTGGAGCGTGGATAGAACAGCAGCAACCTCAAAATCCTGGGACGCTCTGGAGGTTGCATTGTTGCTGGCTAATCATCTCCGGGACAGCGTGCGTGCGGTAAATCAAGAAGGAACACAACGTCAATATTGACTGTCAGGCCCCCAAAGAAAATCTCGGCCTTCCGCGTGCAGCTTCCTTAGGAATAATCCCCAGAATAAAATCCAAAATGTAAAGGCCTCTTTATTTTTAAAATTCATGATTTATAATGCTTAGCAAGTATTTTAAGGACACAAACACGATTCCCCACTTAACTGGAAACAACACCAGCGTTTCTGTGTCTCTACAAATATTCTTGCTTTCCTTATCGCAGTGGAGAGTAAGAATAACTCCTTGAATCACTAGGTGCTCTGCTTAGATCCGTGAATGGAACATCTGCAGGTTTTAATAAAGTGGAATGACTTTGAAGCTCAAGTCTACGTATGACGTTTTTTGTTGAGAACAATTCCTGTGTGAAAATCTTTGGGAGTTGTTGGTTTTCCAAGTTTTCTTTTTGTTCTCATTGACCATGGTGTCTTTGTACCGAGCGGTACATGATTCTTGAGCCAGGAACATTTCATTGTCCCTAGTTTGCCCGTTGCCTCAAAGCACAGGTTTTCACACCATAACCATCATTAAACTCCCCCCAGCCTGCCATTTGGGATTATACAAATGCGTCACCACCACGTAGGTACTTATTGTACAGTTTTTTTATCCGAGTTTTAACTTACGTCTCTTCCTGTGAAAGGTCAAGGACAGGGATTCGCTGAGTTTTTCCTTGAAGTTCTTATGGCGAAGCGTTTTGATTAGCGCTTTCTGGAATTATAATTGAGAACAGGGTAATAATATGGGGAGTAGACCAGGGACTCTCATGAAGCCATCATGCCTACCCTCCTGAGTCTCTGTGGTGTGGTTTATCTGAGAAATCTGCGAAAGGAATGCTAGCTCAGAATTTGACACGGAGAAAAGCAGAAGCTCTCAGCCGTGTTCACGCAACTCTCTCTTCCCTTAGTGTTTTCTCATCTTAACTCTGGTTTCTAATGTTTTATTATTTATTCATTTTGTTTTATTGTCTTTTATACGAGCCAGCTTTAAGTCCTTTCTTGTATGGGAGTTTTATAGAGGAAGCTAATGACCCAGTCAGATGGAAAGCTTATCATCCATTCGGTGGGAGGTATACAAGGTTAGACAGAACCATCACCAACAGGGCAGCCCCGAGAATGAACTCTGCATAAACAAATGATGTCTCCATATTGAATGAGGTGCACTGCCTGTAGTAGGGAAAGGAAAGTTTACTAATGTTCTGTTAATGGTTGTAAACAGCAAATGAACTGC